ATATATTACAGAAAGCTATCCGCAAAGTCTTAAACTGGTCTGTAGAAGGCGTCGAAAAACAATGCCATACAAAGGGGATACTACAGATATCTTCACCCATCTAAGATATCATTATCCAGATTCATATTCACGTGTTTCTGCGAGATCAAAATATGATAAAGAAAAATCAAAATCTAAGCAAAAAAAGCTCGAACATAACATTAACCGAGCTTTTGGAACGTAATTCAAAATACTGTAAGAATCGCTTGTACTTGTGATTAGTGTATAATCGGGGACAACGATGTATAAATATCATTTTGTTAATATGGATTTGGTGTTTAACATGAAAACGCTTAGGTTTGTACCAGTGATAGGGATTTATACTGGAAACATTATTGCTGAAACGATTTTGGATGTCTTGGATAAGCAAAGTCTTAGAAAAAGGCAAATTATATGCTGTAAGAGAAAATGAAACAAATATGTGAAGGGGTTTCTGTATGTGGAGATTCCAAGACAAAGTTGTTTTAGCTTCAATTTAGATTTGACAGTGAACAAGGGATTTAAATTCGTCTCGGTACAAAGAGTGCTCGAGTGTGCCGCCTTGTTGATAATTTCATAAAAGCTGAAAAAAAAAAATCTGAAGAAGCAACAGAAACTGGCACTCCCATATCATAAACTGATTCATGTAGGTAATTATTATAAATATTATGCTTGTATTTAGTCTTTTAACTTTACGCCATAGTTGTATTTTGATCTTAAGATCTACAACGGCAAAGTAGAGCTTATTTCATTACATTAAAACACAATAACTGGTGCTTGTAAAAATTTTAAAAACCACTTCTCTGTAAATTAGCGAAGAAAAAGTTGAAAGTTGTTTAAATGTATATTGAATGTAATTAAAATTATCTCAATGAAAACATACCTTATGACAAATATTTAATACTAGTCGATACTTCGTTTTTTTCTTTACATGTAAACAAGTTGAAATACCCATCAACTAACGAGGAAAGTTTAAACTTAATTAAAACAATGTAAGTTTAACAGCAATTATATATTTAAAAGTAATAACTTGAACATAAACTTTAGCTCAAAATTTTGAAATTATAACAAAGCTTCTTCATAAACAATATTTGCAGTTTGCTTTCCACCTACCATCTACCCTTGAATACTCTACATCTCATTGACCATGTGAAAAGCATGGCTGTTCGAAAACCAATCGAGCAACTTTCATACTTTGACCTTGAATCCCTTTAGAATATTCAACATTGTCTAAAGCATCAACATGCTAAGATTGTTTGAGATTGACTCAACAGGCTGGGAGTAATTAACCAACAGGCTTTACAAAACAGAAATAGAGTTAAGTTCAATTTTAATCCCCTTACGACATTCCCCATAGTTCATAGTGTTTACACACAAATTTGGGTTTAGATTGGCCCAATATGCTCGGAGGAGTTAGGGTGCAAATAAGTAGACCTTTGGTCTGTATATATATATGTATATAAGACTAAACCACACACATAAGTACTATTAGGGCAGCGGAAGTCACGTGAAGCTGCTGGCGCATGCGTGACTGAGTTTCTCGAATTATCGGGGAAGTCCACGAATTTTGGAGATGCCTCTTCGTTAGTATAGAAGCCTGGCAGGGAAAAGCCAGGGGATGATAAAGCAAACAGTAGTTATGGTGAGTTTCGGGTAATTTACGATTCTGTTTCAAGCTACTGATTGTGGAACTTCTGTGTACTAAAAGTTTGTATCTAGGCAGAATAAACTGGTTTAATCAAGAAAAGACTTGTATCGCTGAAGTTCCTCGGAACGAATTTCTACCAGAAATTAACAAACAAGCAGATAGCAACAAATTGGTGTCAGAGAGTGGGACGGAAAAGAAAAGAAAAAAAAGAAGATGGAAACGAAAAGTGGCAAATCAAACTACAACTTAGCAGATTTGATGGCAGCAATAAAGAACAGCAAAACAAACAATAAGAACGAGAAAGAAACAAGAAGAGAGGCTACAGAAGTGGTTGGAGGAGAAAGAAAAGAAACAGGAAGAGAGACTACAGCAGTGGTTGGAGGATAAAGAAAATAAATAAGAAGAGAAACTACAGCATTGGTTGGAAGAGAAAGAAAATAAAGAAGAAGAGAGACTACAGCAGTGGCAAGAAAACCAGCACCAGTGGCAACTGGAACAA